TCGTCTGGCTTTTGGTCACGATCCAGTCCCAAAATCTTTGATCATCTGTCATCCGCAATTTGCTGGATAGCTCAGAACAACTACGGGTATTAACACGATTTTCCACTTACTCGACGATTTTCTAACCGTCGATGCACCTTCATTTGATGCTGATCGAACTATGGCTGTTTTAACTCTAATATTTCGTCGCTTAGGAATACCAATTGCCCCACACAAGACCGTTGGGCCGACTACAGTCCTCGAATACTTAGGAATCGAATTAGACACGGTTAGGATGCAAGCACGTTTACCCCAGGACAAGCTTTCGCGAATTCATGAACTTTTGAAAACGTTCCTGTCACGCAAGTCTTGTACCAAACGTGAACTTTTGAGTCTCCTAGGCCATCTCAATTTCGCATGTCGTGTAGTGATACCAGGTCGAACTTTCATTTCCCGTTTGATTGAACTTTCAAAAGGCGTCAAGAAATTACACCATCACATTTCAATTTCATCCGAGAGCAGGAAAGATTTACATATGTGGCAATATTTCCTGTCTGGTTGGAATGGAGTCTCCATGTTCCTTGATGCCCATCCAACATCAGCTTCGGACATGCAACTGTACACAGACGCAAGTGGCATTGGTCACGGAGGCTACTTCCGTGGACGTTGGTTCCAAGAACGTTGGTCTCCTAGTCTCAAACTTGAAACGGACCCAAGTTTGTCAATTGCCTTTCAGGAACTTTATCCTATCGTGGTTGCCTCCATACTTTGGGGCCACCTCTGGGTTCGAAAACGCATTTTGTTTTATTGCGATAATTTGGCCACTGTCCATATCATAAACAAGGGACGCTCTAAATCACCTGCTATTATGAAACTCATGCGGCGCCTTGTCATCACAGCAGCCTCGTCTAATTTTATGTTCCAGGCGGAACATATACCAGGAAAAATTAACCATATTGCTGATGCTCTCTCTCGATTCCAGGTCCGACGGTTCAGGGAGGCAGCTCCAACAGCAGAACCAACCCAGTGCCAAATTCCCTCCGTAGTGATGTTCAGTTAAACCAGGCAGTGATGGCATGCCACCAAGCATCACTGGGAAAACGAACAGTAGGATCCTATTCAACTGGCGTCCGTGCTTGGTTACGTTTTACAGCAATGTTTGGAATACAAGGTCAGCCTGCCATTTATCCACCCATATCAGAAGATTCCTTGGTTTATTTTGTGGTGCACAGTGCTACTTATTTTCATCTCAAGTACTCAACTATCAAAGTCTACCTGGCAGGATACGTACCCATTACATATTAGGAGGTCTCCCAAATCCACTAGTGACTGGTAACGGACAAACCCACTTACGACTCAACCACGTGCTACGAGGTATTCACCGCCTACAAGGTTCTAGTACAAGACCACGTTTGCCAATAACCTTTGACATTCTGAAAGGCTTATGCGAATTGCTCCGTAAGGGTGTCTTCGGGCCATACTTTGATCTCATGTTGGAAGCTGCCTTTTTATTAGCTTTCTTTGGCTTTCTTCGTTGTAGCGAATTTGCTTGTACCACCAACAGTTTCAACCCAAACCTCAACCTCTGTGTCAGAGATGTTAAAGTAGTAACTCGTGGAGAACACATAGATCACTTGTCAATTAACATCAAAACATCTAAAACTGATCAGTTCCGACGGGGCTTTGACTTAAGACTTTTCCCCACCAATACCTCCTTATGCCCTGTTTCTACTTTGTACAGATTTCTAACCGTCCGCCGTGAAATGAATGCTGCTCAAAGTGAGCCTTTATTTCTGCTTCCCGAGAGAATACCACTTAATCGTCGTGTGTTCACCACCTCCCTGCGTTCGCTCCTTACTAGACTGAGACTTGAACCACAGTACTTTGCCGGACATTCTTTCCGCATTGGAGCTGCAACTACTGCTGCAAGCGTCCACCTCCCAGATCACCTCATACAAACTCTTGGTCGTTGGTCTAGCGATTGCTATCGCATTTACATTCGAACACCTGAGAAACTTTTACGTTATGCATTTACAGCACTTACACAATGTAAGTTTATTCAGTTCACTACTCCATGTAGTTCAAGCCATTTTCATTTTTGCTTATTTTTGTACTGTTTACTAACATGTA